AACTCGTTTGTATTGATTCTAGACCGATACGACAACACTATATAGGTTAAATGAAAATGATTGATGGTGCGGAGGGAAGGATGGTCGTTGAAATGTTGCTTCGTACTTGCAAATCACAGCCACGCAACTAATGTTCTGATCTATGTCGTTGGCGATTTTCTTTCTCTCCGTATATACGAAAAAATGACCGCATTTAGGTTATCTGTTATGAGATTTAGTGTGACCAGATATACGATTGTTGATTATGCAAAGATCTACGTTTTTCTCCCTTTAGTATACATTAGAAAAGGGTTTTTAATTCCGTCACTTTAACCCCATATATTGTATGAAAATCATCTATGGGGGAACCTTTCGATATTGTGCTGTACTCCCTTGGGATTGTACTGATTGCGCATAAAAGAAAAGCAGTTTACTGCTACTATTTAAGCTATCTTTAGCCATGATGATTCGGCCATTGGGCTTACGCATTCTACTGCTTAATTGCTTCTCGAGGTTGCTTCAACTCAATCAACCGAAATCCATACACACTCTTCTGTTATGCTCAGGTGTCAAAACGGAACGAAACCCGATGGTACCGGGAAGTGTGTCTCACAATTCTGCACACCAAATCCTTGTATTCATGGGACATGTAGCACTGTGAATGTGACTGCAGGGAGTAACTTTACATGCATTTGCGATCCCGGCTGGACAGGTACACTGTGCTCCCAGCCTGATGTTTCCACGGCCGAGTTGAGCTGGTATTGGATTCTATTGATCATTCTACTCATCTTACTCATTGGTAAGTTATTCATATGCAATATATAATACCATTTACCATTATTGACCTAGTTACGGTCGATTAAATTAAATCAACTGATAAGGGAGTCAAGAGGAGCTGCGTTCCACGGTATACGGCTCCGTTTACAGTGCGTGCGATGTTTGGGCTGAGAACAATCAACCACAAGTGAAGCAACCTGGCACAAATGTAAGCTAAATTAAGCACATCAATGAAACTGACATGAAAACTTAAAATCAAATTCGGCCATCACTCTTTGATCGATAACAGTCAGAACGTGCATTTGGGATATCAGCTAGGCGATTATCCCAACACAACTTGTACTTTTCATTTGGTATTTATGAGTGACGACCAATGGAAGGGAACATGTGTGTCCGTACATTCAGGCATTCATAGAGTTGGCCATCTGCCTCGTGTAGCCAAAGGCAAAAGATTGCATTAACAAACACAAACAGTCGTGTACCGAAATCCTGATGGGCTCCTTAGATAAACGAATTCCGACGTAGTTTATATGTTGCTGTGTCGAGAAAACACATGAGAATCCCAGGTCTGCTTGAGTCGTTTTACTTGAAAACTGCGATTAATGCATGTACTTTCTAGAAAACGTATTTTAAGTTTGATCAAGGTGGGATACAGATTTCTTAAAATTGTGGATCCAAAACGTTATTTAATTCAGGTTTTTGTAAAATAACACAAGATGACCATCTGTACGCTTCCGTCTTTGTCCACTGCAGGGAAAAATAAAACTTAAAGAACAAAGCGTTCTGGTGTCAAGTATATCAAATGCACCAGAAGACAATAGTAATTTCCCTCCTAATGTTTGGTCGAGTGTGTCAGTAACTTTCAACTGCCAGGAATGAACACAAATAAATCGTATAACGTTGAACTAGGGAATTCTTTAACATTGCTTTTATCCGTCATTAGTTTCTGAAGTTTAGCAAAACAGTACAGCCTCTTTTCTAAAACAAGCTCCATTTTCTTTTTCATCTAAGGGTGTACTATTTCTTCAAACCAAAATATTTTGAGACCCTTGATATTTAATCTTCCATGACCGCTAAAAGGCAAAAAACAATTTGAAGGTTTACCCGCTTTGCAGTGCAAGTCTCTAGACAGGAAGCTCAAAGAGATGAATTGAATAGCCCAGGCCGAACTCGTCTTAAACATCGCTCGGTGTTTCTAAAAAGGGGTTAAGACAATCAAAAAATTAAACACCAAAATCGATCTTCATTATAAAACCATTACACACTTTGTTACGCGTAACCTTTTACAGTTCGGTAGGAGCTACAGCGTTCTGGATTTTAACATTGGCAGTCAATTTGATGATCTATAAATAATAAATGTATCTTCAGGAGATGTTTTGTAAATCCCGTCATGAAGTCTCTACCGGTCAGTGAGTGTGACATATCCTCAGTCGGATCAACATTGGTCCGAGCATAGAGTTTTACCTCCAAAATTGTTAATCTGGAATTGTCATTCGCAAAGTCGGGAATGTGGATCATTTGCTGAAGGATTTTGATGATTGGTCAGTCCACCAGGGACTAGGTCAAACATCAGTCTTTAAGCACACACAGCGCACCTGGGACTAAACACAATAGAGAACAACGGCAAGACTGCTGGGGAAAGTAATTCAACAAACAACTATACTGGCTTAGCACTTGGTCAACTATCTCCTTCTTTGAAGCTGAAAGTCAGTGAGCTGCGTAGTGTGATTAGTCTACAAAAGCAGAAATACGGGCTTGTATTTGAACTATGAAAGGAGAAAAACATTAGAACCTGGTGTAATTCGCTCCTTCTAATACATTAATACCGCATAATATGTGGTCACATGAGTGTATTCAACCATTTTAGGGAGCGTCACTTTTCGTTTCAATTTACAAAGAGGGATCTAACAATTACTGTAAAATCCACCAAGGGAGAAGTTTGTTCCCAATTTTCACTTAAGTNAGCCTCCGTTATGCTTCGGCGTCTGATGCCTTAGTAGTAAATAGGCTGGATTCTGACAGCTGGCGGTTGTATCGTTGAGTAAGTTCATCGAGTTACGCTATAAATTTCGTCGACCAAATATTACTTAGATTCATGACGTAAAACGAGTTTGTCATTCAGTTAACCACAAGGCCCTATAAGTTCCGTTCCCATAAAAAAGAAATTCACACAGGGATGTAGATTTTTAAGATCATTGTACTCGTATATTTCAGGTACTGAGGTTTTGTTTATCATAGATTACAACTTTCGCTATTCCTTTTAAAATTGGTCATTAGTAAAACACTGGAGCACCTTATTGAATAGCTGAGAATAAGCTACGTGATTCGAGTGCTGTATCGAAAATGTCTGCTTGAGACAACTTATGTTCCGGGTGTACTTGACAGACTGACAAGTACTGTTGCTCCATTCGGTATGCGCTTTGCACCTGCAAAGTTTAAAGTGATGCTGCAAGAGTAGGTGTCGCCGAGTTCTGTTATGAAACTAAACGGTCAGGAATTAGATGAAGTTGACAGCTTATCGTTTTTAAGTAGCTGCGTGCCCAATGGTAGTTGCACAGTAAAGGAGATAATGATCGGTACTTCCAAAGTTCGAGCGACCTAGTCAAGTTTTAAGCAGCTTCAATGACGACGTTTATGCTACAAATATCGATTCTATGGGATTCAATAACCATCTCTTTTTTAATATACCTATAACAAAAAAATCGAATTTGAATTTGACGTAAGGCTGCAGTAACATTGAGGATCCACTGCTTCAGGTTTAGTTCCCCTGTACAATGATTCTATCAATAATGATTTTCATCGGGGATGAACCTAGTCAGTGGACATATCAATAAACGACATTCGGAGGTATTTGGATTAACTTCTCTACAAGCTTTTACTACGTAGATATGCTAGTTATTTCAAACGATGACCATCTACTGGATCATCAAAAGATTTGCAGGATTTTGCTCTCCCATAAAACAATGATGTGCATACCAAAGAAGGCTTGGGTAGAGGAATCAAATTATCAAGCTAGGACGGACGTTTGTAGGTTGACAGTCGGAGGAATACACAATCATCAATTTAATACGTTTGTAGTAATATAAGTATTATCATATGTGGCATCATGACACCCAGCTAATCTTCTATAAAACCCTAAGATCTTGTGGGGCTGAATTCGATAATTTTGAGCTCACTTCAAGTGTGCTTATAGAAGTTTTAATATTTGCCAATTCCAGCATTCCATACAGTGTATAACGTTAAAGTAGAAGTTGGATTTGTCTCCTAATTTGGCTCTAGTTATATAACTGTTTAAAACCTAGGAGCCAATAACCTAGAAACCACTTAAGGGTTGTTGGCAATCGAAATTAATTATTTTTGTTGCCATGCCATTTGACCCGGAAAATCCTTGAAAAAAAGTGTAAGGCTGTTTAATTTTAACTGCATACTGGGTTTTATGAATCAAAAATTCTTACTATTCTAACTAAAAGGGATATCAAGCATACTGATCGAAAACTCTACAGTATCATTAGTGACTGACTGTACACCGATCACGTTTCAGCACACACTGAATGTAAAAACCTCTTTGTACATCTCTTCGATCTCGTCCTAGGCATACTGAGCACTCGAATCTGCCAGTCATGATCAATAACTCCCGTGATATTACTAGTAAATAACATATTTTCTCCACTTGAGTACCAACAGTGAGGACCCATAAAACAGGAAGAATGCCACAGAGTGAATTGAAGATTCCACGATCATCCTCGAATACTCAGTTTGGACGTGAATGGAAATCAAATTGTTGTGTTCTATCAAGCACAGCGGTTGCAAGATTGTGGTGATTACAAATGAATCATAAAATATCTTGCTGACTGAATAAAACTACTTTTGAAGCAATAAAAGCCGAAGGATAAATCGAAGGAAGACAAAGGTCATCTTTTGCTTCACAACTGAAGATGCAGAAACCCACCAGAGAGCGCAGTCCAAAGGAAGCGCTTTTTAAACAAAATTAGAGTTCAGTCCAAAAGGCTGCTCATAGTCGAAAGCACCTGCAGTATTTTACTGCTAAAATTTACTTTTCAGTAAATCAAACCGTTCGCTGTTGTAGCACAACCACAAGGCAACAGACAATTCAAAAAATATTGATGCGGTATTCAAAAACTATCTGTGAAGTCACATAGTCCTTAACTTTGTAAGACTATTGGTCAGTATCTTTCTGTACCCAGTATCCCTTGATGATATCCTCGCAAAAATGAGATCCTTGGATGGGTCGTACAAAGTTTCCCATGAATTCTTGTTTTGTTTTCCACAATGCCTATACAGTGGCAGTGATTCTAATTGTCGTCTGCTGTTGCAAACGTCGAGCGAAGAAGAAGGCGGCTTTGGAACAACAAAATGAGGTGCTTGAAAGTGATCAGTTTGGCATAGATAGCCAGTTGAATGATCCATGGGATTCTGGTGAGTCATCTTATGAAACCAGATAATCATATACTTGGAATTCAATGATGTGATAGTGCCATTTATATGTACGGTTTTGAAATGTGCAATAGCATGCAAATAGGTGAACATTTTACACAAACGAAAAAAACGTTTTTAAAGCATTCAGGCGAAGTAATCTGAATCTGAGGTTATTCAAGTAACAGATACTAAATGATGGATAGGTAAGCTAGTCTTTTATAAAATCTAGCAGTGATATTTACCTAAAATCTCCCATTTTGGGAAGATCTCTCGTAAACATATTCGGGCTTAGCAAGATTCAGTGGAGTAACACTTGGACGAGTATGAACTAGTTTGAATCCACTGCAGATTTCCTCATACCTATGCCGCGTTGTTTTCCTTTAATCTCTACTGCAACCTCAAAATATTTATCATACAACCAACGCAGACCTTGATAATAGCAAATATCTATGTTTGTATACACAAATATGTTTATATGTATACATCAAAGAAGACTGCCACCGGATGACAAAATACAACTTGAATAAAATCTGCGAACCTCTACAGACAAACGTGGTTGCCATTCCCTCCTATTTATTTTTCAACAAAAACCTCATTTCATGTAAAAGCATTGAGTTAGGTGCACCAACTCGAAACTTGCTATTGTAACGCCCTTAGGGGAGATGAATAACGTTGGGTCTATTATCTTTTCTTCTTCCTACGTATCATTTATATGCAGTCAAGAACATTATTTTCTATTTAAACAATCATCCATCGTAGAGCATATTGGTTGGATGTTTATTTTATATTTTATTGCATCACTGTATTCACAAAAATGATTTGTTTTTAGCCTGTTTGAGCAGCTTTTCCTCTTGTCAATAGTCCGTGGATTACTGTTCCTTCTCTGAATAACAAGTGCTGTCATTTTTAATGACGACAATGCTAAATGGTAAAAAACGACCAAAGCTGACGAACAATGCAGTAGATGGTGGCCATTGAGTCACCCCCCCCCTCCTCCCCATGACACCTGCATTTGCTTATCAGACTGATGAGAACGTTCATAGTTGTGTTCTAGACAACGTTCACTCCAACACCTGTCAGTGCGCGCCATAGTTCATATCAACTATGCTGTCTGACTGGCATAAATCATACCTTACATTTTAAAACTAATGAAAAAGACGCAGNGCAGACGAGGACAGCTATCTATATGCAGATCAGACTTATGAATGAATAACTTAATTACAACAAACAGTTTTCAAGAAGTTCAATTGGCAGACAAGTTCGTTTTCCGTGCCTCATTTACTAGCCAAATACAGCACTCTTTTATAGGTCACGAAATCACATAATTTAAGGAAATAGAAAAAGCATAAATAATGTCTGTGTTCGTATGCATGTGTATGGATACTATGGATGATACAGTAAGGGGTGTATGAGAGTTCAAATCATTCGGCAAATGTCATTTGTGCTGTCGTATGAATCAAATGTATAAACGCATTGATACTCAATTCATAACTGGCTTTATGTCACTCTAGCCTTTGTGCCTGGTCATGGTAAATCCAGAGCTCTGACCGACTGCTTTTGAACGCATAAAAGGGGGGTTGTTCAACCGACTCGCTTCGACTGTTGACAGTAGGCGATGCTTGATCTGCTTCGATCTCACCCCGGTGAACGTGTAGATGGGCCTGACCGCTTGATTCATTCTGACACGATGTTCAGTTTCGACCAAATGAGCCGTAATCGCCGTCCCCCCAGGTATCGTCAATCCGCAACCAAACTAGCTGGGGTGGTGTTCTCGAAAGCGCTTGGCCAAGCTGCGGGTGGTACTGTATTATCCATAGTATGCATACACACTCCTACGAACACTGACATTATTTACGCTTTTCCTATTTTCTTAAATTATGTGATTTCGTGACCTATAAAAGAGTGCTGTATTTGGCTAGTAAATGAGGTACAGAAACCAATGTTGATGCGATCCACGGGTATTTTCCAGTATCTCAAACAGTTTTCAGTTGAAATGTTGGCTTCCCGAAATACAACAAGTCTCTGATTCTTATTTAATGAAACTAAATGCGAATTATCTTTTTTGACAGAACGAAACAATAAATGGTTCCTGAAATGTTATGATTGGGATTACTTTTGCCATCCTTTTCAAACTAAAGTGTGGGAAAACCCAGCAGGAATTCAGGGAACGTCTAAACCAGCGGAGCGCTTATTGGACTCTACATATGATAAAGTCAACCATTTGGGCGCAGTGTTAAAAAAAAATCAAAGCTCATACCCATCACCCTGTCCCCGCGCCACATGCTTGGGAACAAAACCACCACAAATATGATCAGGAGTTAGCATTTGTGAAATGACATATGCAGTATTTGTGTAGCGCAGTTGTAAATTTTTCGTTCTGGATGTCGTCCGGTTCACCCTATCTCACGTTGTATTTTATGGTTAGGATTTTAATAAGAGTGAATTCCTTTTAAATCCCATCATTGATACCAAGAAGTAGTGTGATTACATTTAGAACGTAAACCGAAGGGTCTTAATTCAGGCTTATAATTGTAACCCTGATTTGATGCGATATCAGACGTAAGAGATACGTATTTTACGACAAATTTCATATGCAGCAGTGGCGTTACTTTCACCCGCGGGTAAACTCCATTTGAATGCAGAACGTTGTTATCGAATCTAAGCACAATACCATTTTCAACATTCTGCAATTGTTTTCGATCTCCTAATGTTACACATTTATTGCTAGTGTTCGTATATTTTTTGATTTGTTTATCGAACATAGTTTTCGATTGCTGAATGTTTTCAAAATACATAGTGATAAATTTTATAAGCATATAATATATTTTACCTACTGCTTCATGTATGTTGTTATTATCGTCTCACGTGTAGTATATTCTGGACTTGGTTACCCGAGTTTATTCATTTGCATTATGGATACAAATGAAGTTACCCTAATTACGTTTCTCATTTCCCATCCCTCGGAAAGCTATCGTTTCAAATGCGCAGTTAAAAAACGCACAAGACTGTATGAATTAAATCCGTGCAGTCTGATATGTTACAATTTGCCCCAAACAAAAACATGGGCCAGGGATATGCTATAACCGGCAAAGTTGCCGCATTTCGCGAATTCTATTGAAGCGCAATGGATGACAACAAAGAAGAAGCAAAAACCGGAAATCTGTGAATCACGATAAAAAACCTTCAGCTTTAAACATCTTAAACTATTTTGCCTGGTCTCAAGTACTTAGTATTAATCAATACAATACAGTGGAGAATTATTCCAGTCAAAGACCTTGACATAAAATGACGAGGACATGGACCATGGATATCATGCATACTTTCATTTTCACAACTGTGCCAAAAGCTTTTCGGCGAATCGTCAGTTTTATGTCATACTCTTCATGATAAACAAATTAAAAGTGTCAGAAATTGTTTGTTAGTTTTGTGGGATTTAAGATAATCCATTGTTACACGTTCGACACAGAATACCATTATGGTGACTTCGAACGTTTAAAATTATTTCATTAGAATTAATTAAATAAACGCGACAAATGCACGACAGAGGGTGTTTGAGTTTGCTAAATTGTGTTTGTCCAAATCAGAGAGGATATCCACTGATTTAGAAGTAAGACTGGGAAATCACATCGGTAGAAAAACGAAGGAATAACCAAACTAGGCGTATGAAGATGACCAATGAACCTTTTCAACAAAATAGACACTCCACAGTTTTCCAACGCAGTTGTCACTGTGACTTAAATAGAAAATATAATGGCGTTCTGTTGCTGCAGCATGCAAAAATACGCAAACATCCAACGTATTTGCTTGGATTGAATTTCAGATTACATAGAAGAAATTGATGCAAGTTCTCAATGGATCAAGTTGGTTGCGGGGAAAAGAATTGGTTTGTGGCAATACAAAATTGATGGACGGTTGAATCTGTTTTAAATTGATTTCCCATAAAACTTCAAAGAAGAAAAAAGACCAACGTGCAAAAAAGTAAACTATTCCGCCAACTGACATTTCACCCGAACCGAGTTTGCATTCATCATCTCCAGCTTATTCCTGGCCAATAGTGCAGGAGAATTGCTAAACTCCGACTCCCGCATACATTCACGCCTGCGTCTGAAAATCGCGGCGCCCATTGTCAAGCCATATTTCAATCGGCGAGTTATTCTACGGAAATTTATAGTAATATAGCAACACTGACTCATCCGTGAAACATTTCATCGGTGGATAAAAATTGTTGTTAGCAGAAACGGATGTAGGTGAATCCAGATCTTCTGTGATGTTGGCATCAACATACAAATCACCAATATCTTTAGATTTGTTTGCTTCATAAAAGTACAGAATATTTTGAATAATTTGACGGGCGTATCCCCAGTGGGATTTAACGTGACAGACGGTTGGTACTGCGCAGAATAAAAATCTTTACTGTTTTTCTCCTCGTCTGACTGCCCTTTGTCTACTCCCATAAGAATAAATAAATCTAGAACGGAATGTAATGAAACGTGATCCAAATTCAGCATTTGAATAATTTTCTATACCGTATTTTATGCAAATATGGTGCATAAGCGTCTCTCTGGTCATCAAATATAAGACAAATTTTACTCAATTTTGGAAGGATTCATTTAAAAACCGTTACACCATATCTTTTACAACCTCAGGCGAGAAGGACTTCATGGGTCCCATCGACTATACGATCCTACAACCAAATCAACAAATGCGAAATTCAACCTCAGATGTGGCGGATGGCCGATTGAGAAAAAGTGAGTACGACCAATTTACGGTTTCGTATTGAAACTGAATTGAAATGGGATTTTGAAGAACAAAATTCAAATTATGTTTATCTTATTTAGTTTTAAAGTCAACATTTGATAAGATAACGACAACCTCAGCCTGAATTTAGTACAATTAAATTTAGTCGATGAAATAAAGACTCGCAAGCTTTTGGACGCTCCGTGCTAATCAATTTGTGAGACTGGTACCGAGGCCGTTTTCAGTAATAACCACATAGATGCTAATGATGAAGAGAGCGAAGTTAAGATCAAAGAGTGCCCCTATGAACAGGAAAGCAACAAACATACATCCTTTCTGCCATCAAACATACATGATCCACGGATGCTGTCGGAATTAGGCAGTTCACTATGAGAATAACTATCTGTCAGTTTTCAAGTAATCTTACTATGGTATAGAGTATGGATCTTGATACTAGTCCAGTATTTGGACTTTCTGGGCAGGCCGACAAATTTCCCACCAGAGGTTGCGCCGAAACATGCCTGTAAATTGTGTAGCAAAATATTTCTCTGAGTTGACTATAGATGATTAATTTGCACGAGTCTTTATGTTAACTCTGGACACATTTTCTGGGGAAGCTATTTTGGAGTTGCCGGTCGATGAGACTGCTGCGTAACTGTTTCTGTTCATTTATCCAGTATTTTAATCTGTCAGCTGAATGACAAAATTGAATTGGCTTAAGAGCGCCTCGTTATGTAAGAAAATGGCTTTTACGGGTTTTGAATAACCGGAGGCATTGCAGAATCCAAACAAAAATAACAAATAACAAATAACAAAAATAAGCATGAAACAAAAATTGTAACACTTCACACTTTGTCTGAATTCCATCAAGAAAATCCACAGTGCCACAAAGTGGCAAAGGAGATGTAGAGTATTAACTGATGTGGACCGGACCCTTAGTCAGATGCTTTGGTTTATTCCACCTCCGTGAAGCCCAAAATTGCTATCAAATCATTTAGTTTGTCAATTGGAACTTCTAGCTGGTGTTTTGTTTCTATGTTAGGCACTGGCTATTGTGTCACGAAAGTGCTTCAAAATTATAATTTTGCTTGATATTTTGCATACATGTTTTAAAAATTTCTCTCCTTTTGCAATACGTTACTGTATTTCTTGCTTCTGAGGTGAATATTTAAAATATTTAAATCCATCGTTTCAATTATATAATTATTTAGCTTGCATACCGTGTCTTAAGTATAAAAATGTGTAAATATCATAATTCTTTTCACAGGAAATCAACAAACCACATTAGGTGAAATATTTCCCAAATATTCCCAAGGTTGCGTGAAATCGATTGGTCCTCAAACGTCCTCAAAAACATCTAACTCGAGGATATAATTCCAAATCCGGTATTGCTAAAACCAACCTAAGGTTGGAAAGAAGATCGAGTTTTTGCCGTGGTTTTGCAGTGCGTCGGATGAAATAAAGATTTAAACAGATTCTACATAACATGAACGGTACTCAGTTGTCCTATCAAATGAACCAGCGTGTAATTGGTACGGTAGATTGATTGACTAATGTTACTGATAAACGATGCACTGTACCGTACAAAACGCATATTACGTTTATCCGCACTCATATGTGTTCAATAATCTTTGTCCGGACCTCGAACTTATCGTTCGTTCAGTCGTCAATAGATATATAATAAAGGCCATTATTTACTGCTAACGATTTAAATTCGAGTTCAGTATATGGTTATCCATTTGATATTTTTGTTTTTCGATATGTTTGGTTTCCCGTCTAGTGGTCTCAAAATTGTATTGGGTATTGCTTATTGGAACAAAAATCAAAGTCATCAGATGGTAGGCCATATTCTCTCATAAATTTACATTTCCAAGCTCTGAATCAAAATTCTCTTCTTTCCAAATTAGGTCTCAGCTTATGCGTCAGCGTGACTAGCACCATAAATAGTAGCTTCACTGTGCTTCTTTACAACAATAATTTTAAGGAACCCGGGTTAGGAACGCAACACTGTGAGCTAATAAACTATCTTTTATGGCAGAGTAATTCATACTATTATGGTTGTTTTAATGTCTCACTGATACCTGTTGACAGGCTGTCGGTGAAAAACGGCTTAACTCCATTAACAAAAAGGATTAATTTGTTTTAACGTACCAGTTCATTCATGTTCGATTACCAAATGTAAGTAAGTATTCAATTAACCACATTCTCACGTAATACATTACACGGTCTCGATGAAACTTGAATCCACACCGAATGCCCTATACTTCAGATGTTTCATCAACTCGGTTAAAAGGCTCGCTCAACGTTGTGATCTTTAGCCTTTTAGTTGTTCATTCAACTTGGAAAGATATCACCGGACTGGGTAAAATGTAATCTAATTGTGAGTACACGTTTTCCCTAGAAGCAATGGAGTTTACCAGATGTATCACGAGGCTCATATAAACTTTCCAGTTGATGATGGCAAGATCTGATGTAATCTCTCATGAAACACTTCGTCGGCTTCAAGTATGTATTTGGCGATTTGAAATTAACAGCAGGGATAATTACTTTGTTTGTACATCGAGCTCCGGAATAAAGATTCCGTCAATGAATCAAAGAAGGATAACCGTTGAACTTTGAGGAGCTTTATCAAAGACCATGTTAGTGAATTGTCATCACCTATGGCACTGTTCTGTAATCACCTGATCTTAATAAAAGATAGGCTGCTCTATGAGAGTTGTAGATGACTCTATTGACCGAAAGCCCGGTTGAGCACTGACTTGCGTTTTGTCCTTGTTTTTTCTAATAGGAAAACATGTACTCACCGTAAAAATGTGTTGAAGATTCAAGTTTCTCTTTGTCCGAAAAACTACACGTCCATGGTGGTTCCAATCGGAAATGACATGTCATTGTTGCATGTGAAACGCTCACAATCGACCAACACAGTTCGACATAATTGAACTCGGCCTCATTCAGTCAGTTCAGAACGTCTAACCCTAGCGGAATATTGGATGACTGCCGTGAATGAAATAAACGTTCGGGGGAGATAGCAATCCACTCGCCTTCCATGTATGATTTGTTAGAACTGGTCACAAACGGCATGTTTTATCACGGTCGGATGCATTCGACTGACGTAAATGGCAAAAGGCAGAAAAAGCTAAGTTGTAATTTGCATGATAAAACTTTCCGACTCACGGGAATATTGTTCATGAGATATATCATCACGAAACTGAAAACTAAAGTGGATTCCCTGATCCAGTGAGAAGTCAGGTTCCCCCAGTCGGTGAAATAAAGTTTCTCAACTACTAAGCAATATAACTGAGTTTTTTGAAGATATTTGGAAAATATTGAGTGATATTTGAGGAAGAAGTGGAATTCAGACGTCCATTCGCTCAAACCACATATCAATTTATTGAAACCAATGATGAAATATATAACACTGCATCGGTCTGGAGAATAAAAAGACTAGTTGTCAATATTTTTATCAACACATACGTTACAATTGGTTTGTAATGTGTTGAGTAGGAAACTGTCCTTGACACGTGTGTTAGCTTTTACGTCATCAATCCGCGTTTATGCGAAATCTGAAATTTTTCCAACGGGTAAGATATATTCCATTATTAATTCAATATTTAAAAGAGTTTTAGTTTCTATTGGTTTATTAAATATCAAATGTTAGGATTTTCAATGGAGCATAATCAAAAGCTGTCACATTAAAAAGAAAATCGGCGAAATGTTCAACAATAGTGAGTGACCAACACACAACACATCGGCCACTGTTATGAGATTAACCAATTGATAGTCACCAATAAGTGATCACTGCGGTATATAATGTTCCGAAGTTAAAGGGAAACTAGAAAGTTGTTCCACCCGATAAATTGGATGAGTAATCAAAAGGTTCCCTGAAGTGTGAAACGATGTGCAATACATATCAGACGTTATACTTATTTGTATATATAATAACTGTTGCAATAAAATACCGGATTTGGTTAAGAACTATATTGTTTCACCTTCACTGCATCTCATAAAACGATCGACCTTTTTATTCAACGATGTTCATCCTGATTTTCCCAGATTATATACCGCGAGAACATGGACAGAAAACCACTGATCGTCCACCATGGGAACAGCTTGAAGGACAAGAAAATCCAGCGATGAATTTGGATCAGGTGTTAGAATATGGTTACGAGGGTTACGATGGTAAACCACCGCCTGACTTCTGTCCAGCTGAGCCACCCACTCTGATCGGAGCCGATGATGATTATCCTAACAGTAATGATCTTATCAAGATGAACGGTGGGTTTGAACCACCCACGTTGTCACGGATGTCCAATAGTCGATCCGAACACTTTAACTAAGCAGACGGTATTCTCGGAACATAACTAGAAATAATATGGTCATTATACATTTTTCTTTCAGTGTTTTTATTTTACTAACTGGTTTCTAGCCCCGAATTTGGTGCGAAAACCTCAAAATCTCAAGAATGAACGTCTATTCTTCTTCTTCCTCTTGTGACTTTCCGTCGATGCAGCGATTCTCACACAACCACGCACGCACAATCACACACAAAAATCCAGCAGCCTTTGTTTCTTTCTTTTCATTAAAAATAATAATGACGTGAATATTTTATTACTGTTTTTCTACACCTATCTCTATTCATGTATGAGTGCCTATCAAACTGCTGATTGTTCCTGTTCCCTTCCCCAATGCTACCTGACGGCGTTTTCAGACGATCTCATTTGAAATATATTCGACTTGAAAGAAGACCATCAATGGTCTGCTGATGTCAATGTAAAATCAGTTGGAATGGGAGAGGGAGTTTTCAGCAACTACAGAGTTCTAATTCAAACTTTTGATTTGTCATACAGTATTTTCTGTGAGTATTTATACTTCGATCATGATTTACAGACGTCAATTAGGACGATTGTCTTTTATTCGTGATTTTATCTTTAACTTATAACGTGTTATTTATTGCGGAAATGCATAATTCGAAAGCTCTTGGAATTAACTGATGTTCCGAGAAAAATGCTCGACTCGAAAAGTGTGATAATTTGAACGTACGACATGGAGGGAAGATAGAAAACAGTGGATTTAAATGGGAGTGATCTCAAGTGCGTTGCTTGTACTCTGGGACTAAACATAAATACGTTGGGATCTATTCCAAAGATGCTGTAATACGTTGAATGCCCCAGTTTCATCATGGATATTCCGCAACGACGCCGGCCTAAGTTCGGTGATTTTCCACATGGAAAGCAACGTATGAAATTTTTTCCTTTTTTTAATAATTTTACTTCATTTTATTGAATACACAATGATACAATTTTCTGGAAGGGGGAAGAGGCCAATCAAAGAGGGCTGCAATGGGAAAAGTCAGGCGATGGTGGTGGGGTTCGGACACACGTCCCCCGAGGTGGTAATTTAGTGATGTTACCACCGGGCCACCACCGCCTGGAGCGCTTGAAGCACTTAACGCGATTGCATTGGTAACTCATATTTGCTTATATTCCTAAATTTGATGCACGCTTATCCTACTGCCCTGATGAATGGGTCTTTCTGTTACTCTCAGAAAGCTTTTGGCCATGGGATAAAAGAAAAGCTTGGCTGTTCACAGGTGTACTATGTGACAATCAGTAAATCGATTGTGTTACCCACTTAAGGAGAGAACAAGACGAAACAGGGTTGCCAAGTTAGATATTGCTACATTTCATCTGGTAGAATACGACAGAAGTCGACGATTTATGTCTATAAGTGCCATAGTTGCACAAAAATAAGACATTAAGAATGGTCTCACCTTTTTTGATTGTGGGATCAGTGGCAGTTGGACTGGCAGTCCTTTTGTTCGTGTAGTGGCCAAAGTTGTCTTTTAATGCAATAGAGTTAACGAACACTGTAGAATTCAGATCCACAAGATGATTCGTCCTCAATAGATTTTGAGTGGCGTTGTTGGGTAAGGATTATAGATGATGGTAGTTCAATGTGGTTGAATGTGCTTGTGTTAGTAATAAGCGAGGCTTGTGTGTGTTTCTTAGGGGTTCAGATTGGCGAATAGCCTTTGAGCACGTGACTCAATCAACCGGCGCCTTACCCAAATAGTTTATGTTCCTTGATCGATGTATGTAATAGCCTATCTTTTCTACCCATATAGGGCGCTTCGATCCCACATTCGATGCGGTATATCACGTGCGACTTAGCAGATAGTAGAAAGCAGTGTGCTTCGTCGGCTTACGGGAGTATTTACTGTTGGGCATGGGACGAATGAGTTGACACGGTTATAAGAATGTTTCAGTGGACACTACAATCGGTGTTTGAAGCGCAGGCTATCATCATCTTTTAAGGGGACAGAAAGGTAAACCCTTTTATTATGGGTATCGTGTACTAGTTTCAGCTCCAGCGACTGGCTAGCCTAACTAATGGAACTAACTGGGTAACCATTCTTGGTAAAGTTCGACTGGCGTTGGGCTAGCCCCGCTTATGAGCCATATTGTGGGCAAGAGCAACAGAATCGCTGGGATAGGGTTCTTGCTATGGCGCACTCGCAACTAATTGGAACGAATCAGCGGCAATACATATTAACTAGTCCGGGTCATCTGGATATATACAATCCCTAAACTTCCTACGCGTTGTCTGCAGATCATTCGAATGTCCATAAAAATAAGATATCCGTCCATTTCGCCTTTCAACGTATATTGTTGCATAAACTGTTCATGACTCAAAGCAACAGAATGCTATTTGTTGATCTTTTCCCACGATGAGCTCATTTTCAGTGTATCTTCTGTATATTGCTAATCAAACTAAGGTTTTCATCTTTACATTGTCCAAATAATTGACAAACAGCTTCACGAGGATAGGCCCTAAGTTGCTTGAAATTGTTGCTTCGTCTGTTTCTCTGTAAGATTCCCCTTGGAAACTGAACGGCAGCCCTTTGATTGTCCGCTTGCCCCTTTCTGAAAATTGTACCATTGCATATTCAATAAACGGAAGTAAAAGAAATAGATAAGAAGAGATATCTGATGTGCATCGGAAAGCTAGAGGCGTTGTGCCTCCGACACCAAAACGTTGACTTTCAGATGACGTTATTTAATATACTGTAGGTCATCTATCATTGTCACACTCGAAGACAATTTATTAAACAGAGCGTGTGTACACGGAAAAACTCGTAAAACGCTGAAGTTATGTAGTATGTAAATGTAATGAAAGCTTTTAAAAAGTTAGTACCAATAAATGGACAAAGCATTCAACGACGAAGGTGATAAATGCCAGTCAATAAGTTTCGCATATATTCTTATAATATTGATATTACCACAGTGTGAGATGAAATCATTTGCATCAACCTGTCTGATAGCACGAAAGCAACCGTTGGTTAACTGAAATGCAGTGAGTTGAAAACAGTTTACAATGAAATGTATTACGTGGGACACATTCCAAAACTAGGATGTCTATATTGAAAAACCCATACACATTTTGACCAAACTCGTGTAACATGACTTCCAATTTGGAACTGCATTTCAGCCAACAGTATCATAGCTGTAGATGGACAGGTTTGAGTAAAGAATATCTATGCCGATCTTCATCGCCCACTGCAATGTTTATCACGGTTTGCATTCGCTTGCCCTTCAGTGTCATAAAATAATTTACACTAGCTCGACAATTACAGCTGGGAACTAAGGAAATTTTCAATGCAAAGGAACACGAAAGTTCATTTTTTCATCAGAGTATTTATTCGAATTAATACAAGTATTACAAGTGGCTGATCTTTTCTCATGCAGTACAGAGTAAATAAGCCGAATCATGACAAATTTCTTGCATATAAAATTGATGTGTTATGTGACTACAAACTACCCCCACAACATACCTCGTCTTAAAAGCACTAAAACTATACAATAAGAAACCCTGAAATTGACCAACTTCATGCTTTTGAGCTATTCTTATATCCAAATTCCAATGAAGAGTTTACTCAGGCTTTGTTGTCCTGCAACTTATGCAACAGTGACCATCGTTAAAGTCAAGGAATTATGCTTGTTTCAGGCATGTGACCAACAGAAGCAAAAAGGCAGCTGTATATTTTTACAGATATATTTTGTCTCATGTGAAGCAATGTCAAATTCAATCCCGTGAATGAGCGTTTAGTGGACACATCTGGCGAAAGACAAGGTGTTGCAGGAGTTCAATTAATGCCTGTAAACAAGATGCCTTGGTTTATCACCCCAGATTTTTACAATCGATTGTGTCGTGAAAACGAGCATTGCTTGTCAATCACTGTTGCGACCACATAATTTTAGTATTCCTTTACATCTTAAGTCAGATTCCTTATATTCAAAATGACAGGAATTTGTATTATCTTACTGAAGGTACTAAACTTGGTGTATCAAAATACAGACCTGATAGGAAGGAGTTGAACTATCAAAGACGGAGAAATGGCATCCACATAAGGGAATAAATGTCACTGAGAGCAAATGGCAAAGAATGATCATCAATAATGGGCACAAAAATGAACATAAGTTACCATTTTTCCGGAAGTAGGTTATGGCTTGAGATTTTCGGTCCTCGATTCATGCATATACGATCGCAATCAAACATAACCACTATAAATCAATACGATTCAAAAGTTTCAACTAGTGCAACAAATACGACTTCAACAAGTCGCTGGGAGAAGGAAACAATATCTGAGAATGTGCAAAGAGAACTTATACCGAGCTGCTTTTATCCATTTTTTTGGTTCACGTGAATGCTGGTGAATAGGAAAATGGAAAACGTTCTTTGCTAACTAGGGTTTATTCGGGGCTAAGAATGTCGTGGGCGGAGAATCCAATTACATAGAATGAAGAGCTACATAAATGCTTTCTTGCAACAATGATGAAAAAGTTTCATTTCCAGGAATTCGGATTGCCCGATATACGATTCGACGTACACATCATCTCAGACCAGTCAGTACCAGAAATGTGTTCTCACATTCTCTGTTGATTACGACCAGTTATGCTTGAAAATAATATAAATTAGTAATAATCTGCTATCTTTGGAATTAAAAATCGAGGAACAATTTTGGAGGCATTCAGTATTAGTAATTTTCTCAAGTCAGATTCGTCTGCTGAGAAAGTAAACAATAAATAGCAGGCGAATCGGTCTGAAGTTTTCTACCTCAACAAAATATTCCATTCGTTTATTTTAGCTATTTAAATTTATCCCTCTGAGGTTTGTATTCATTAAACAAACAGGAAATCGAAACAGTAACCAATTGCATATTTGGAAATGAAGGGTTATCAGATTAAATAACTAAAAGAGCCTGCCACTGCGCATACGTTGAAAGATACCACCACCACCACCATCACCACCACATATTTAAAGTTTATTTTCCTCGGGG